CCGTCTAATTGCATATGTGTTATTCATGCCAGTAACTGCATAATTAATTAATCACATGCACTTGCTCTAAAAGTAAATTTGAGTTTGGTAAATTAAACTGCAGTTACTTGAAGTTGATAAAATTTAATTTTGATAGAGTTTAATAAATGCAGCTAATATAAAAGGTACTAGTGTTTTTTACCATTTCTCAACTTACCTTCTATATATATAATTCATTTCAAAGACTAAATTCCTTTAACTTTTTAACAAAGTCTTTCACATAATCTGTTAATATGCAAGGATAACAAGAATATCTACAGTTTCAAACAAACTATTAAAATGTTTGAGCAAGTACTGAAAAGGTAGCAGGTTCATAATCATTATAACTGCTAATTATAATGAATGAAAATAAGATTATTAAAAAAATACCCAATCCAGAGACCCTGTATATTTATTTCTATTATTTTAAATTTTCATTCAAAAACTCAAACACATACTGTGAAATTTTAGAAAGCTGAAATTAATGCTGCATGAACAAAGAATATCATACTTCAAAAATTTTTCTTTACTATCAACAGGAATTTTGCAGCCATATTTTTATCATCATGCAAGATCAAGCACTCAAAAGAGATGCTACAAACATGATTTAAGAGTAAAGAACATTTTTCTGCAGTGTTCTGTCTAGGCCATTCAGATAAACTTGTCTGTCTTATTAGCCCCATCAGTTTCAGACATTTTATTCAAAATCCAGTATCTCATGTGTTAACCAGCAGATATCGCAACCTATTTATAAAAAGAGATTATCTGAACCAAATGGCAGGAAAGAGTCTTTGCCTAAAGGTTTTAAAATATTATCTAACAGTCAGATGCATAAGCTAAAGAAAACTCCTTTTTATATCTCCCTCTGGAAGAACAGATTTAAGCAAGATATAATTCGATGAGACATTTCTAAATCAACTTATGAATTTTTCATACACTTTGCTAGAAACTTTATTAACAAAGTGAACATTAAACATATCATAAACTGAATTATGTAACGATCTATACAGAGATTAAAAAGTAAATAGCAAATATGTAAAGGAAGGTAGAGGGGGCCAAAATAAGTATACAGTACAAAGTTCGAGATCTGAACTCGTCAGGACTTCCGCAGTTTTGGATTTTTCCAGATATCTGATCATCAGTTTAAATCTAGTAAGATGTCATGTAGAAATTATAAAATTAAAAATATGAAATCATGAAGCATTTATGATATAAAGGGTATCCAAAAAAAAAAAAAAATGCTTAGGTTGCTTTGTTTCTTATGCTTATACTTTCTCTTTAATTCTGCATGCAGACAGACAGAACTTCTTGTTCAGGTACAAACTTCCATTGTTGAAGTCCTGTTATTGCTGTGTCCAGAATTCAAACTAACTTGTCAATCAAAATTTTTTTGTTTTCAGTAACCTGTCACTTTCTTCACTATCGATACCGGTATTTTCCGGATTTAGAACCATACTACAGATTTCACCACTCGTTAACTGATTGATGACTCAGGAGCATTGTCAGCACAATGAAAAACTTTTTATACAATTTTCATTTATTACCACTGATGTACGTGTGAGTAACACGTGCATACGAAAATATCCCTAACATTAACTAGGAAAGCCAAAATCTTAGTTAAGATAGACATGTTACAATTAATAATCAAATTTAATAAGGAAAAGTAACAGTTGCCGGGTACATTATAACGGCTTAAGAAATTCAGAGCACCGTACAGATGCGAGACACAAGTTCACATATCTCGGGGCGAAGCAGAGACGCACACATTTTGAAGTAGTTACGTGATGCCGGGGAAAATTCTTTCTCCCGTCAGCCTGTAGGTTGCCAAACGGGTTATGTTTTCGCCAATTGGCGCTTTCCTGTACAGTTTTTAAGTCCGTATCGCCTGTTTGGCGCTGCCGCTGCACCACTTATCATAAAATTTAGCTGTCGTTCACTACACATACTTGGCTATGTAGCATGAGATTGCCGATTAAAGACAAGTTGTTCCACTAAATATTATCTTGCTTCTTTTCAATGAATGGGACAATTAAGCCTGAATTGCATTAGTTTAGTTATTTATTATACTTTTGTCTGTTTCTTGCACATACTAAGGCTTATCCGAGTCCTGAATAAATAAATTCCCACATGTATTTAAAGGCTCATCGAGGGATGGCGCTAGATATCTTATCGCCTGAGGCAGTCTCTGTGGGTCCTAAAATTCTGCCACCAGGCACCTGTCTTTGTCTTCCCAAAATTCTGCCGCCCGGTGCGGCCATACAAGCTCTGGCGCAGGTTCTGGGTTTATGCAAATAACAAATTCGCTATTCTTAATTCAAATAGCACTAAATGTAATCTTTTGGCCTAGGAGTATCATTTATAAAATCTATTTTCAGCATACGGAAAGAAGTTTTTGTTAAATTTTTCCTAGTCAACATTTCTTAGCGCATTTAACTTAAATCTGTAATCATCGCCAACCATAATATCAACATAAAAGGTTAATGTTAGGGATAATGGAATGTTAGGGATACTCTTTATTATTCAATTACTAATATAAAAAAATTACTTAGGCATCCCAACATGGGTCATTACTCAAGTTGCATGTGTTTGTAAACATGGTGTGATGAAAGTAAAATATAATAAATAATGATTCGCCAGGGGTTATAAAATATTAGTAGGTGTAAAAATCAAATGTAGAATGTTTAGGTTTGAGATGTATGCCAAGCAGATACGGAGCCAAATTATTGATCATACAAATTAATGCTAGAATAATTATTCCTTCAATAACAAGGAATTTTATTTAGTGAAGTGAACTTAAGAATCGGAACTCTCCACGTTTTATTATGCCCGGGGGGGGGGAATTAAATGCATATGCACAAAGCATACCAAAAAAAAAAAAATTGTTGTTGGCTTTGAGGTCCGGATTTTAGGTCATTCCGGATATTGGACTTGTATTCTGTAATGGAATGCGAGCACAGAAATGGTACACTGAGATGGCACATGACAATATTGAGTGGTAGATAACAGATTTGCTGGCATAAATTCTCATTTCCTGTGCTAATTTCAAGCAGTGTACACTGTTACACAAATGCATAGCTCACCAATATACGAGGGTTGGAACTTTAATAGTGGCAACTATTTATTTACAAGGAATACAAAAGTGATTCATGTCACCATGTTTTACAGTCCTTCAATATAGTCGCTAGCATTGTGTACAACCTGTTTCCAATGATGTGGAAAGTCGCAGAATACCTGCAGCAGCGCCTGTTTTGTTGATAGTTTGAATGGACCGGTCTACTGCCGCAAGAATCTCAGGAACAGTTTGGAAGAGAGTGCCACAAAGTGGATTCCTTCATCTTAGGAAATTAAGTCATAGTCACAAGGGCTTAGACCTGGGGAGTATGGTGGATGGTAAAGCACTTCCCAGCCCCATCACTTGAACAAATCAGTCACAGCTTGCGCTGCATGTGGCCGAGCATTGTCATGCAAAATGAGAGAAGCGTTCTGCAGAAAGTGTCGCCATTTTTTTCTCAAAGCTGGTCAGAGATTGTGCTCCAAAAATGAGTAGTAATACTGCGCAGTGATGGTCTGCTGTGGGGGAACCATATGCATTAGGATGACACCATCACAGTCGTACACGAGAATCACCCTAACTTTCACATTGCTGGGGTTCTGACGAAATTTCGAGCGTCGTGGTGACCCGTGATGACGCCATTCGTTTGATTGGCATTTCAGTTCTGGCTGGTACGATCCGGCCCAAGTCTCATCCAGCATAATGATACGGTGTAAAAAAGCATAATGATACGGTGTAAAAAAGCATCTCCTTCGCGCTCATAGCACTCCAGGTGGGTTCGGGCAGCATCGTATCGTAGCCATTTCTGCATTTCCGTCAATTGATGTGGAACCCATCGTGAAGCAATTTTTCTCATGGACAGGCGTTCCTTCAGAATGTGCAGCACAGTCGTATGCGCTAATCCTGCTTGTCCGGCCAGCTGACGAATCGTTTGGCGGCGATCACTGTCCATTAGTGCGGCAACAGCTTGCACATCTGCATCGCTGACACTTGGATGACCAGGCTGCAGCATGTCTGCCATGTTTTGGCGTCCTTCATTGAATGCTTTCACCCATCTTGCTACGGTTCTGTAAGGCAATGCAGATTCCTCGCAAGTCTCTTGAAGCCCTTGATGACACTGTCGTGCTGTACAACTTCTGGCACATTCAATTTTTATCCAACATCGTTGTTCTTGTTTTGAAAACATCCTGACAACACTTACTTTAGACCGCGAGCTAATACAAGGATCCGTTCTTTGCGTCACTCCACATGCACGTGACGTAGGCAGAACGAGTCTTTTTGCTGAGAGGTAAGGTAGGTATGTAGTTCACGTGTGGTATACGCGATATTCTTTGGTTTTGGTGCATAGCGTTTTTTTCAGCTGTGTTGCCACTATTAAAGTTCCAACCCTCGTACATTATATCTATGGAGATGGTGGGCTGAAATGGAGTAGCTGATCAAAGGATAGATTCAGGATTTGTTTGTTCTCTGCAATTCTTTTGAGTAAAAATTCCGTTTTAGCTACAGCTCTATAAATAAAATGCTTGCCACTTGAAATCTGCACAGGAAATGACGATTGAAGGCAGCAGAACATTTTTACCTGTTACTTAACAGCAGTCTGTACCATCTCAAAGTGCTATTTATGCACACATTCCATTACAAATTTTGCTATTTCAGGCCCTCTACATGCCTTTACATTTTTATTTGACATTTTTTAAACACCTTGCATGACAAACTCAACTGATTAATTCATTTTTAAAAATTTAGTTTCAAGAAATACAGTACTTTTGCATTTTTCAACTATAAAAAGCACTGTTGTAAATACTAATGATGCTTTGATCAAAATTAGCTGTTAATCTGGATGAGGCATTTTCATTAAATACATATATAGGCATCATAACTCAGTTTTAGCGGATTTTCTTCTGTGATAAAGGAACTAAAAAGTAATTACTTGAATCAACAAAAATATGATAAGTTTTATTTTTAAAATACAGTAAAACAATTACACCTGAAATAATTTAACAAGCAGGAAGTTAATGAAATCTTGCATTAAGAACATGATTCTAACAGAATATATCTTTAACAGACAAATATTTTAAGATACAATTTATGAGTTATGCAGATGAGAGCATAATACACAGAATTAAGTTACCCCTCTAAGTAGCATGGCCTTTTGCACCTACTCATGAAGAAATGTATTTAAACTATATTTCTTTGCTAAATTTGTATAATTACTTTAATGTTTTCATAATCTTTCATTAAGATAATATTTAGATCATTAAAGAAAACAAGAAAACAAAATATTTTAAATAATAAGGCACTATACACCAAATGGCAAAAAAAAATTCATAACCAGATAAAGGCAGTGCCACTCGAGGGGACTAAAAAAATTATTAAAAAAATAACATGAAAAAGATCAAAGTATTACACATTTTAATGATGAAAAGGATAGTCAAATTGAACCAAATTTGATACATTTTACACTGATAATATATTTATATAAGTTCTTACTAGATAACAGAATTACTGACAAGAATTCTCCATTATCATACCTGAAGTTTTCTCAGTAAGTTACAGGAAAGAACTTCCATCAAAAGTTCATTATATAAATAAAACTTCATGCAACTGATAAGAAAAGGTCTTTTTTGGTCATAAAATGCATATATATACATTCACTTTGAAACTTAAATAAGTACAGGCATTCAACCAAATTTTAATGTTTATTTACATGTAAAGAAATTACAAAAATATGTTTAAATTTGAGATTTATTTTGTATACATATATTAAAATAGATACTTCCTCAGATGTATTAAAATATATGGAAAAATATTCTTCAGATGATTCCATAAGAATTTAAGCTGTCTGAGCAGATGAGGGTTGGCAGTATCGAACACCATTCACCTAATATGAAAAAATGAAACATTGTTGTTAACTTAGTAGATTATATGTTTCATTTAAAATAATAGATTAAATTTTTAAATCAATAAAACAAAAAACAATCATTTGGCAATTTTAAAATATAAACTTTATGAAGCATTTTTTTTTCGAATTGCAAAAACAATTGCATGTTATTACAAAACAGTCAAAATATAGTAAAATGATCTGTTAGTTATGTGTTAGTTATGTACACATGGTGAGCACCAAATCTTTCTCAGATTGAAAAACTTTTACACAAAATAACTGCAGATGATAGAAATGTGAAATCTTTTATCATTATGTAATCTTATTTTTTTATAGATTTTTACCATGAATTCTTGTAAGGAAGGACAAGTAATGAAATGGTCTCAATGAAAGAAAGTGAAGTGGGTTTTGTGGTATCATTAAATTAAATCTGTCAACAATGGTGATTTTGAGCTTTGTATTGATGCATTTGTGCAGATATTAAGAGCATCAAGAATTAGGGAAAAAAGTTTTGATTAAACTAGGTTGATTCAAAAGACATGATGCTTTTTTTTTTTTTTTTGTTGTTCTTCAAAGGTCTTTTATTTATATAAAGAACAATGATCAGTCAATATTATATTGCTCGTTTTGTTTGGAACCTCTGTGCTTTATTTTAATAAGCGTCATAATTCCTCATTCACAGAGGAACCTAGCTTTATCAGGAGAAAGCTGTAGAAGGCACTGATAGGAATTGAATGTTATACCATGAAAAAAATTTTGAAGACTGTGAAACAAGTGAAAGTCTGAGGGCGCAAGATCCAGTGAGTATGATACACATTTCATCTAAACTCTAATAATTTTTGTCAGTAATCAAATTTGTGTGTGGTCTTGTTTACAAGCTCCTACCAATGAGCCAACAAATCAATTTGAACGTATGCTGTTGCTAACAGGACAGTTTCAATGAATCCATCTTCCGTAAACTCAGAGCCCATTAACCATACAGGAACTTCATTCATCTCTGTAACACGAGACCACATACACAAATTTGATCATCAGACATAAATTATTGGAGTTTGGTTGAAAATTGTTGTCATGTATATCATACATGCCCGATCTTTTGTCCTTAAGACTTTCACTTATTTCAGTCTTCATATTTTCTTTCATGGTAAAACATTCAATTCAGATGAGGCTATAAATCAGCACCTTGTTTAGCTTTTTGTTAATAATGGTTGGTTCTTTAGAGAGTGAGGATTTATGAAGCTTATTAAAAGAGCAAAAAGTTATCGAACAAAATGGACAATATACTATTGACTGATCATTGTGCTTTATATAAATAGAGAACATTTGAAGAACACTAAAAAATGCATCATGATTTTTTTAAAAACCGGATATCACTGGTAACCATCCAAGAAACGGTAGACCTGCTAAGAGTAATGAGCCTGTTGACAGCATCTGTGAATCAGATTACATAATAAGGACTGAATCCTTGCCAAACCAGTGTGTCATATTGGAAGATCAGAGTAATAGATGTTATATCAAGTTTAACAGAATAAATGTTGAAAAACAAGAAGGAAGAACTAGAATACCAATCTGACATTCTTCAAGCTACAAAGGTACACTGCGAAAATAAAAAAAAAAAGGGACATTTCTATATCTCCTGTTCCACTGGGACAATTGATGAAATTCAACTTGCATTTTTTATGTCTCGAAAGCGCGACTTAGGATATGTATTAGATTTATATACGTCATTGTTCTAATATAGGTATTTTGACACAAAATTGGGCTTTTTCTGAAATGACATGCCAATTTTTTTCCATATTTCGATTCTATGACTTGAATTATGCCAAATTGCCAAGTTTTGTAAAAATCACGAGTAAATCTTAAAATTAGCTCTTAAAATTTTAGCTCCCCAATGTTAATTGAATTTGATATATACTTATTAATATCTCTTTTTTTTATAAAGTTCATTTGATTCTTCCTTTCATATTTCGAAATTTAAGCTCATTAAAATACACACCCATTTTTAAGATTTATTTTTAAAATAATTTTTATAAAATTTTCGAAAAAAATTCGAATTATAACCTATAAACTTTTTGGCAATCATCTTAAAGTAGATGTGTTTCTAAACATACCTGCAAAAAATTTTGCTCTATGAATGTACAATAGAAAAGAAAGATAGCAAAAATGAAGACAGAATATTTCAAAAGTCCCCAAACTGTGATATATCTATGTGAGCAACACACTTATTTCCACTATTCAAGGTTTCATAATTTAAAAATTGTTGTCAAACATATGTTTAGAAAATACATCAAAAGTAATGTTACAGAAGCTGCAGATAAATACTGCAAGATTTTTTTTAGGTCATATTTTATTGCACATAACCAAGTGGATGCTTTGAATGCCAGTGGAAAGCTTTGAAATCTAAACTTGTCAAAGCTCCAATGCATTCTCTATTAAGAGTCTATGATACTACATGACAGCAGATTCAATAAAAGCAACCAGATAGTGATACAGTGAAACATGAAATGCCTTGCTTTGCTACTCTCAAGTTCACTCATAAAATCCTTCTGCTGAGGCTAAAGCAAATACACCAAGGAAAAAAATAAGAAAACTGGAGTTTGTTCTAATGGCTTATTTGGGACAACACACTGTGAAGATGAATGAATCCAGCAAACCACAGAATATCTTAGCAATAAATTAATGACCTCTGCAAGTTTGCTACAATGTTTATCCCAATGCATCCATGATTTTAAAGGTAAACGGGCAAATGAAGCAAAATTAAAAATGAGATATTAGTAATATGTGATTAATATTAAATAAAACCAAAAAAAAAAATTTTTAAAAATAAAAACAAACCAAATGATTATAATTTACATCATGAGAAGCTGTTAAAATAAAGATATCCAACATTATTTAAAACACAAATTTTATCAAAATTAGTACAAATATTAAAAAAATATATACATAAAGAAATTAACATAACAACATATTTTTTATGCAACTTCACGATTTAAAGAATTTATCAGATTATGTAAAAGAAAAAATTTAGCTTCATTGATACTGACATTAAAAAACAAGACTGAGTTGACACAGTTTATTTTAATGGTGAGAAAATAAAATTTATGAAGTCCTATGTGGCATAAACATAACTCCTTTTCCTAATACTGACATACTATTAATAATTTACTTAATTATGCATATACGTAATGCAACACAAGACATTTTCCTCGGTTTTAAAATGAGTTAAAAATCATTAAAGATATTCAACAGGATAGAAAAGGCTACAGATTTTAGTAATGCTTGCTACACAGGAGAAAACAACTCTAAAATGGCTTGACTGTGAAGATATTGATAAAGTTTCTGAAATGAATATAAAAAAATTAATTTTTACAGGCTGTTTAAGGACTATAATTACATACAGTTTTATACATTTTTCATTACACCAGAAACTCCTACATTATATAATTATTATTGTATTAGTGTTTGTAGTTCTCATTATTAAAAATTCTGAGTGATGTTATATAAGATTTCATTAGGAGCTACTTCAGTAAATCAGATCCCAACTTTAATTTTATATAGAATCCACTAGATGCTTAATCCGGAATTGTTTTAGTACCTTTTACTAACAACTTCAGTATGAAACAATCTTTCATGGTATTTAAATGCTGCTGGCATAATTCTTCCACCTGAAGGACAAAGAACAATGATACAAGTATTTTTGAACATGACAGCAAACATGCCATAATTTATCAAGATATGGCATCAGATTTTATTAGTCAATGTTCTATCTAGTTTTTTTTTTTTTTTTTTTTTTTTTTTTTACAAAATAAATGCTTCAGGATTTTGATACACTCAATTAAATAAGATTTCAAAAAGACACAATTAATTGATATACCAGCTGGCCAGAAGAAAGTTAAATCTTCACCCAATTGAAAATACCTTGTAAACTGATTTTACAACAAAATACATAACATTATGTTGCAAAGGGATTCAAAATTCGGATGTGTTACTGTTGGGATAAAACATATATTAAATACAGTTAAATGGCAGAATACTGGCATATGAATATAATAACGTCATAGATCCCTCAAAGGAGCAAATAATGGCAAAATATGACAGTGAATGTACTCCACAAACATGTAAAAATATTCTACAGACAATGAATAGCATGCTTCTAGCAGAATGGAGTACCATTATATTCAATTCAAAACTAGGATTTCTATAAATCCTCGATGTGTTCAGCAACTGAGATCAGATCAGATGACTTGGGTGATATGACAAAACTCTGATGAGCGTTCTACTCTAGATTTGACTCTAGAATTTGGCTACTCTAGAGTTTGGCAGCTCTAGATTTGTGTCACTGCACATTGGCTTGTTAGATGAAACTCATCAGAAGGATTTTCACATAGCACTAAACTACCCCAAACATTTGTAGATATAGCAAGGGTGAAAAAAATACCAGCTTAACAAACCCCATATCATTTTGGAGACACAAGATCTGTTTCAGTCAGTTTGCTGTTGATATACGAGATCCACGTCTTCAGGTGCTATTCCCCATTGAGACACTATTGCGCATTTACAAAATCAAGTTTCCGAATGTCTCAAAGCCCAGATGAACTACTCTAATTGAGCAATTGTCTCCTAAAATCCCTATCATACAGGTAATGCTCCACAGTCATTGCACTGATGTTTGTTGAGGCCCTAGCACTAAATTATGATACTACTTGCAGCTGTGTTGTACCTGTATTGCATAAAACAATTCTGATTAGCTAATGCTAGTAATGTTCATCTCGTAGGAATTCTAGAAAACCTGATACGTTTCTGAAATGGCCATATGGGAAATTTCAAACTACATTTCTACCTCTGAATTGCTATGACAAATCTCATAAATTCCGAATATTAAATTGCATTATAAAACAGCCTAAATATAAAAAAATTTCCATTCTTGGTAATAATAGTTATGGAAGTTTCTATAGATGTCTATCATATTATAAATGCACTGGCTGATGCAACTTATGAAGTGAAAGACCATGTATTTATAATTTGCTTAAAGTCAAATGTGCTGAAACTGTATGTTTATAGTTTTATGAAATATTAATTTGATAGTTTGTATTGACTCCAGGAAATGCCACAATGCAGCTCGCCAACAAAAAGACTAAAGTTTCTCATTACTTAGGTTAAGCTAAGTTTTTGCCCAACCATTAAGTGTTGAACCTAAGGAACATTAACAAAAGAATATGAAAGTTCTAATACAGTCCTAACACACAGCTTGATGACACGCGACTCCTCCTGACCCCATCTTTGGGCAGCAAGACAACTACAAAAAATGCAATTTACAAAATATTTGATCATCCAGTTATGATTAGTGTCACTAGACACAAAATCAGATGTCGATCAACATCCTCTCTAGCGGGGACCTAGATCTGATAGGTGTGTCTCTTAGTTTTCTCCTCCTCATAAATACAACCAACTGAATAACAGTCAAAATTTGCCTCACAGCCACAATGCTGGCTTTCTGCTAGGGTTCTATACCAAATGACTGAATGATGGGTTGATGTCTTTTTATCTATCCCATTAGGACACTGCTATTTAAAGAACTATTTGCAAGTCACACGCATCAAAACTGTTTAGGAAGTTTTTCTGCAGCTGCCATGGTTCTTTCTTAAAGCAGCAGGATTTCGCAAGTAACAAATTCTATCACGCTCATGTCTTGTCTTCATGAAGATATCCAGAAGTTGCTACCCATTCTGATTACATCAAATATGCTAAAGAAAAATTCAATTCACAATTGTGTAAGTGCTTACATTATTTAATTTGTGTGACAATTTGCAGAACCACACATAGCAAGTGGTATAAAGGTACTTACTTATTAAGCTCTCGGTAGAATGGATAACGATTTTAGGATGTCTCTAAAAAGAAAATCAATAAACTTGCCATTGATTAAATCAAGTTTGTGTTTCCTCAACACTTCAGTAGAAGATCAGACCTCAGGGCCTTAGTGAATGTATGGCCTCACGGCTTTAGTAATTTTAAAAACTCTGATTTACAAATATATTCTGGCTGCACAGTTCAGTTCGAAAAGATACCCATATGCTGCAATATTAGAAGGAGAGTACTGCAAGAAATATTTGCTGCAAATTAAAAATATCTCAAAAATATTAATCATATATTATATATCAAATTAAAAATATCTCAAAAATATAATCAAATACATAAATATCTCTTAGTCCCCCCCCAAAAAAAACTAATTATGTATAAGTGACTCTGATAAAGTGACATTAAATGGCAATGACATTCTTAAGAAAGTAGTTATTTATAATTTGGAACACAGTATATAGTTAAATGACTTAAATAAGTTTACAGTTTAAAAAGACAACAGGGTTTATAAAACCATTAATTTTTCTAATATTAAACCAAATCAGAGACAAGTTCTAATTCATAATAAGTATGTTTTCTAGAAGCATATGAGAGAAAGGCTTTGTACTGGTTCATTTCCCAATTTACCTTATAATCATAATCAAGAATGAACTGCGGAATTTCTAACTGATCAGGAGGAATTAGGTAATAGAGATATTCCACACCACCCAATAGCTGGACTTTGTTCTTCAAGGAAGAAGCAGTAAACGTTGTGAACCACCAACACATTAACTGAAAAATAATTAAGCAGCTATGTAAGAATTTATTATACATATGTAAAAATTCATAGAAATAATTTTATAAACAAGCAATTTTTTATGATAAATACTGTTTGAAAAATTATGCACGACATCACTCTTTTTATTCATTTCTTGAGAAATTTTTAAAAAGACATACCACATATTCCAGCATATAATATGCACTTTTAATACAAAAAATAAGATCAAAATTAATGAGTGCATATTATATGCTGAATATAAAAATGATAACATTTAAAAATAAAGGAAAAATGTGTATACAAAGACTAGATTTCTACATGCTGTTTCATGTTTTAAATGCAGTTTATTTAAAAGAAATGATATACTACATGAACTTTCATTATCAGATAACATGAAACGTTCCTCATATTCATCATCCATTATATCTTCATGCACATCAACGAATTCTGTTTCATCTTCATAATCGTTGTTACTCTGATCCATAAATAAATAATCATCTTCCATTTCATCTAGATTGCGAGACATTTTTTAAATGACTTTTACGCACACCTAAAAACTGAATTAATGGCATTAGTTTGCCTGGAACAACTGCCATGTCTGTATTTAGACTACATGAACAGTTTCTCCATAGGACTTGATGGGGTGGGATCTGAACATGTCCTAAACTAAAAGATTTCCTGGATTTTTTAAGGCAAAAAACGCTTTTGCCAAATATTTCTAATCCACGATTTCACACCATTTCATCCATTCATAATTTCTTGTGAACAGGAATCAAAATACTACTTGGGAAATTATATTTCGGCCATGACTTTCTTTTTAAAATAAGGATGGGTTTTAACTGTATACCGTCAGCTAAAATGAAAGTCCTAATACAATAAGTTGAGATTTTTTGTGACCTGTTGATTTTATATGAACAGTTTTTGTTCCTTACATGTATATTGTTTAATTTTCTAACATATTAAATGTTATTGGAGTGTCATCCATATTTCCAATATAGGGCAGTAATAATTCTTTTGCTTTTGTAGGTCAATAACATACTTTTTGGAAACTTACCAATTTGTTGTCCAAATATTTTGGAAGCCTTTATCAAACTTTTTTTTTTTAATCATAGAACTAAGTTATTCCATGAAGTTTTCACTTTCATTTGCTTTTGTTTCCTACTTTAAGGCATATAAACATATCCTGTTTCGAGTTACAATTAAACCATTTTGATGATTTTCTAAGACCCAGTTCACAAAACTTTTCTCTAGGATAGGCCATTTCATTACTCCTTTATAAATAGCACACTTATTCTTCGGCATATTAGTTACTGTGATTTCATTTTCTTCCAATCAAGAATGGGGCTTTCACCAACACCAAGCATCCTTGCTGCAGCACAATTTCCATTTTCTGTCACAAACTGGAAGACTTTGCATTTGAAAGCAGCAGCAGCACTGCATTTCATTTAGCAGGAGGCCATATTTACTACTAAAAGAAACATTAGAAAAACTGCACTGAAACTAAGCAAATACTATTTACCAAAGTCTTCAAAGTTCACTTCCAAATCATGCCTTCAAATGACTGTAGGAAAAGAAAATTTGACTCCTAATTCTGTGAATTCATTAGAGTCAGTCATTGCATTCGTACTCGGGATAATGTTCTCCTTTTTTCGGAACCCTAGACTAACATTCTTTTGCAAACTGAATTAAATACAAGCCACTCTTTTTGAAGAATTATTTACTCCCTTAAGCATTTCCCCTACATACATACTGTTCCCTTATTGTTTGTCAGTTCAGTATACTACTGTTCAAAAGCCTAGGAAAAATTTTCGAATGAATGACTTCAAAAGATAAAGAGCATCCACATGTATCTTTCAGAAAAAAACTTCTCCAATAATGAATGAAAATTATAAAGAAAACAGAGATTCAATATATGCATTACACTTGTACGAACAGAACAAAGTTATAGTTTAAAAAGCCCTAAAAATTTTCAGTTTACTTAAAAATTATTTTTGTTGGTGCATTTAAAGTAATAAATATGCATTAAATTATATGATATAATGATATCCTGTAATTCTATCAATTAAGCACCATGCAGGGTGCCTACAATTAGACAGGAAATTGGCAATAAGTTTTATCTAAAATGGGATATCAATGGAAGTTTCAGTTGATCAGACTTCTCCACAGTGAAAATGTGACCCATGATACTTGAGAAAGGACATACACAGCCATAACTTTTATTCATCATACACAGATGCTACAAAAGTTTCTTAAAATTTAAAGCCCAAAACTGATTAACAGATTTTGTGTGCTATATCAGGCTAAGAAATGCTACTTCTGCATGCAAATGAACTGATGGAAATAATTTTGCTGACCTTTTTAAAACAACACAATTCATTCATAGGGTGAACAGAATGCTCAAATTGGATAACACTTTGGGCTGATATGAAATACTTCTAATATACTGAAAATAAGTAATGGTACTTTGATTATGACAACTACACACAGTAAAAAAATCAACTATCTAAAATGTTCGGGAAATGCCGAATGCTGGGTAGATATACACTGTAGATATTTGAAGGAACAAAAACTGCAATTCACAGTAGAAAAGCCAAATGAATGGAAAAAATTTTAATTTAAAATTATAAAAACAATCATCTTATTTTTTAGCAACAAGAATATCCAAAGTCTACATTTAAAATCATGTACAATTAAAAAAATACGCGTTTCAGACATAAAAGCTGACATATTTCATAAAAAACATCTTATCCAATAATGTAATCATGTGCATTGACCACAAAAGCTGGCGAAGATGTTGACAAACTTGTGTCAATCATTTTACAAACAATTCAATAGAATGGATCATTATTTAGTTAGATATTCAATAGATATAAGTTATGGATATATCATAAAAAATGAAATTGCTTATCATAATTTTTCATGCAACATTACCATTGCTTATCTATTCTCAAATAAAATTGCATTCTGCATCCATTAACACACACTTTTCTTAATGCTAGGATCAAGCAACTGTGATAATACTCCACTGCATGCTATTCTACAGAAGGTAGGACCAAAACTTTAACCACTTTTTTCTTATTTTTAAATATGAGGGGGAACAGTTCAACAGCAGTTAACTACTTTACAAAAACTAACTCAGCTTACTAAGAATTAATCGAGTTTACATAAAACTATGGTGAACATTTTATGCTTTTGTTGTGACGTTTAAGATTATCCATTATTGTCACAAAACCTGTTTGGTTACAGTGTCCTTTATAATGATTTTACAAGTCTCTCATTTGCTTAATTTTTTGGTTGGGGGGAATCTAAAACATTCCAGTAAGTTGAATGCCAAATAGCCAGACTTTCACTGTACTGTAATCCTTCAATTTGTGCAATGCTTGTTAAATTTCCACTTTTAGGTTATTTCATAATGAGAAGGGTTTTATGAAGAACATGGATAATTTGATATTAAAATTAAAATGGATTATTTAATTTAGACAGGGCACACAAATGATTTTTGCCTAAACTCAATTTGATTTTCAATGAGAGCCCCAGGGGGATGAAATGTTCCAAATACACTACAATCACAAATGTTCATGCCTTACTTGGGATTTGAGCTAAATTCAGCATTAGAATCAGTCTCCAGTAACCATTATACAGCTGGCCAGGGGTTAAGTTTATATTATTAAATAACCTTCCTCTATTGGGGTGATGTCAACTGATTCAAGGCAGAAAGGTGGAAACAGTCAAATAAAAAGAAAAATAATGCAAGGGCCAAATTCATATTTTACAAGAATTATTTTGGTAGAAAAACTTAATTAAATTGGATTGACACACATATCATCATATATTCCTTTCTTAATATGATGCAAAGAAATATGTTATGTAAGATATTATTTCACTACCTTAACTACAGTACTGTAAAACCCTGAAGTTACAGGATAGGTAGGACTAACAAAAAGCATGTCGCAGTAAATCAGCATCCCTTAGTTCTGCTTTAGGTAAATAAGAACAATGGTCAAAAAACATTTATTCAGAAGAAAAATACATAATAAAGATCACAGTTTTTATAAATATCAATATAAAACAGCATTCAAACAAATGTACTACATAAAACAGCTACATAAAATAGATATAGTGAGACCCGATGGTTTCACCATATTCTCTGACAGCCCAATATCAAGAGGGGGAGGATAAGAATGTCAAACTCTGTTCCTTGCTTTTTTAGTATCAAAGTATAAAACAATAACAGAACTGTATATATAAATTTAAAAGAAGTGCATTATTTATAAAGTTTTTTTTAAGAGGGTTGGTTATTAGTTTTAAAACACTGGACATAAGTTACAATGCAAATTACTGCTTTAAGTCAGATGCCATCTCACTAGTTGAAGATTTTAACTTAAGAATAAATGACTTTCCAAGAAAAAAGGAAAATAATAATTAAGATTAATGAATATCTTTATTACATTAAAAAGTAATTATTATTACTTTCTTTACAACTGTTTAAGGGTTTTCTTAATTTGCATAAATTTATTTTAAGTTTACCTATTCTCAACTTCTCATTCTCTCGCCAGGATGTAAATTTTAAGTTAAATGAAGTGCTATTTAGTGTTTCATTGTTATTTCGCATTAACTCGAGTAAGACCTTTGGCCTTATCTGTTTAGTATCATGCCGGTTAGATCTCTGTCAGTCGATCTCTCAGGAGTAATTTTGAAGTGTGTTCTTGCACTCGTTTTATTTTTCAGATTTGATTTTGTATTCTCGTCTACGTTTAAGTTATCACCGCAAGTGAATGGTGTTTTTTTAATGCACGAAGTCCGTGCTGTCTGTTATTTTAGTTTGAGTTAATAAAGGGTTATTTTCACCCTTTTTCTGTACTGGTATTTATTCCACGCGTGTGCGAGAATTCGCCAGGTTCATCATAGGATCTAAGTTAGTGCACGTGGACAGTTAGAGATATGTCTTACACTGTCTCTTTTTAAAACTTTAGGAAGGGATGCAATCATATTTCTTATAAATAAGTATCAGATTCTAAAACTTCAATTTTCATTGCTTCATAAACTAGCACCTATCTTTGATATTTCTACACACATTTTCTTCACCTCTTAGATTCATACCGTCTTATTAATTCTTTAAGCTATATTCAGAAAATGCAGTTTCACTAAAAATCTGATGCATCTGATTTTGTAAATGCTTATATATTGCTAGTCTGATGTTATAAAACAAGCAATATGCAAGCATTTCCAAAATTAAAGTTAACTAAAAAATTCAAAAAAAATTTTTTTTTTTTTTTTAGTATTCTTCTCACAAGAAACCTGCTATAAACGACCAAGCTTGCACTTTCCATAACAACAATGCTTAGTTAAAAATACTAAGCTTAATCAGCTTATTGAAATCATTACCATTTTCATCAATCATTGCCATCAAAAGCACACTTTTTACAGGTTTTAAATCTGTCCCCCTTGCAACAAAACATTTCCTGGTAGATGTAACAAAAATTCGTTTAACAGAAAAATTTACATTTTCTTGGCATTTGAACATTATTTCTGTAGCAACCTTATTGTTATTCCTTTTGCTTAAAAATTATGTTTTGAATGAGCTATGGCTTAATCTTTCTCTAGCAGTTGCTAACTATGAATTAAAAGTGTCCCATGGAAACATCATTTACAACAAACATACTCAATCACAATGAAAAAATTCACTAAAAGAATGACTATTAACAGAGTGATCTATCCATGTGTTCAGCAACATCATGAAAAGTAAAGTAATAATGTAACAATGCACATTTTGACAAGGTCTCAAGTAAGATAACCCATGTTAGTTTCATTTTGAAAGGTAATTCTAGTTTTCATTGCTTCATTTTGAATGCTTGAGAGAGAATGGGTACGTTAACTTTGCATATTATATGATGGCTACCAGCTACAGGTGAGTTATACATTCACATTTTTATAAAGATTTACAGCATAACACACAGGAAAATCCTGAATCGTCTATGCATCCAGCCCATCTGGAATAGATTAGCTATGCTTTATGACATTAACCATTTGGCTACTAGTGTGGTCCATGACATACAGAAAAGAAAAATATATACACACATAATAGAAATCAAAATTTAAAAGTCATATTCAAATACAGTGAAGTAGAACAAAACAAAAATGATCAAAGCCACATAAACAACCTCTGCATAAAACTGAGAAAAATGAAAAAGTCTTAGTATTATATTTCTTGCCACATCTTCATCAGAGGTTTGATGTTCAGATAAATGTAAAAAGTATAGCCTGTTTCTGAGCTAATCAATGTAAAATTTAAAAATGCTAAAATATTAAAACTTATGACTTTTGAATTTGCAAATTAAATTTTATTTCATTAAATTATAGCAACTTTCACTATATAATTCAGGTGATAGTTTATTTAAACTTATTTTTTTTTATTTTTATAATTTTATACATTATGTATGTGTAAATAGACATATATAAATTTTTAATGTATATATACATATAACAAAAGCACTTACTCTGCTCCAAAATGTAGGATGAACAATATAAAATGTTCTCAAATTCTTTTTATATTTATACTCAAGGATGCTATAAACATCTTTCAAGAACGTCAGAGATGGATTATTTTCACTTGTTGTAAGAGTATGAAAATACACAACAATATAATCTTTCTGTACAATGGAGTCAAGAGTAAGAATGAAGTACATAACAGCCTGCAAAGAAAAAATATTGAACATTTATTAAACTATTAAGTACACAATAAGTAGAACTCACAGCCACAAAACTTAATCATGTTCTTATAAAACAACAGTTGTTACCATAGTATTTCCAACAATCTTTAAATCAGATTAACATAAGAAAACTGAACCAGATACAACAGAAATTGTTTTTATAGATTTTATAACCCCCCTTCTTGATTCTTATAATAATACAGTAAATCTAGGAATTGGAAAAATTTCAATTTAAATTTTCTCACTTAAACTGAGGGGGGAAATATATTGTTACAGCTACCACACTGCCCTCCCAAATTCTTGAAAATATAATCCAAAATAATTACTTTACATTTTTAATAAAAATATCCCAAAAGTCTCAAAAATAAATCTGTAAGTTTAGGAAGTTATTTAAACTTTAATCTGTAAGTTTAGGAAGTTATTTAACTTTTAAACTCCTAAACTTTCACCTTTTTATTTCATTTATTCCTCACTCAGCAGTTACAAAATAACACAAATGCAATTTGTAAGGTTTTACATAAATACAAATTAATCACAAAAATTTTGAATTCAAGGAAAAGATTTTGAATCACAAGAATTTATGATAACAAGGTTAGCAGGAGAATATATTTAGATGAATGAAACATGAACGTATCTCAATAAATGAAAAAGAGAAATTATATACATAGTACAAAGTCAGAGATCTGGAATTATCAGGATGTTGGCAATTCAGAAATTTCCAGATTTCAGATCATCAGTTAAATCTAGTTAAGATGATATGTACACATGCCAACATCAGAGCCCTGGTTATTGTTAATTCAGAAGAATGCTGATTTTCCAACAAGGCTAGTACTGGGAAGAAAATTTTTGGATTTAGAGGAGCACCAAGCAGCAAAATTTAAGAGATGGCAAACAATTTTAAGTTTAGGGCCCACAGTGCACAAAGCAGAAAAATGCATACTGATGCACGATAGAGGCTAGTTTGCATTCATAATATCCATACAAAAAGTTAAACTTCCATGCCAGAAACCAAATTCAAAATTAAAAGTGCTTTTATATAGGCTCCTTATACTAGAAATCTCATTTATAATATTTTAAAATATCATTAAAAAGAAGATGTTCATTTAATAAAATTTTTCATTTAATAAGGCATAATTGACACTTGGGCAGATAAATGAAACAGGTGATCACAATGTCAAAGAGTTATACGTACTCCAAATTTGAATCAGTTACACTAGGAGATTAAAGCAAAGAACATTCATTTTTGCCACTAACTAAAATGCCAAAGTATACTATTATAGATGTTTAGATTTGCAATTCAATGGCAATTATTTACCTGTAGACAGAGCAAAGCTACACATAGGAATGTTGCAGTGACTAATTTACTCTTTTCCTGCATATATTTGTTCACACTAAACATTATTTTAGAAATTAGATAAAACATTTATACAATTATTGCTGTTTCAGGCTCATCAGTATAAACTTTGGATCAGGTTTGCTTATGATTACATAAAAACTGTAATTTTCCATATGCAGGAGATTGGAACACAAACTTATGCATTTCACGTGCCCTTAAGAATTAATTTTTATACTTCAGTTCTGAAGAGACTAAAAAATTACAATTAGGACAGACCATTATTAAAAGCAGTGTTTGGTAAAATCTTTTATTGATTAGACTTTGAATTTGACCAGATGGAAGAAAATTTTGAATACAACTGGTGTAACAAATCTCTGGACAAATGAGCAAAGGAAATACAATAGTAGTTAATCAGAAAATTTTATAAAACTGATCATCTATAAAGCTTAGTGACCTATTTATATGCTTTTCTTATTTATTAAGTTTGTTAAGTGATGTCTAGTGATACACATTGCTGCTGGAATATGCTTAAGAAATATTTATTGGCAAATGAACACAATTTGTACAATTCCCTATACTTTCAGTTTCGTTTTGTCCTGAGGGTAGCACAGGTCCTTTGTATGTCCAATTAGGTTAACTTATAAAGAGGTTATACTCCGAAAATGAATCACCACAGAAGGTGTTACTCACATAACAGTATACCTTTGGTCCTATAATTTGAAGAGCAAGGTTGTCTGCTCTCATATTTCAATTGTCTTTGTAAGACAGAAAAAAAGCAGAAATGATACTGGAGCACATTTCCTCTGATACAACAAATTTTAAAAAAAATCGCAGGATTTCAATTCAGATAATAACAACTCCCAAAAATGAAATATCACACTGAAACTTGCTCTCTTTGAAAAGAAATCATATCTAATAATAAAACATTCTTCATACAGAGCTGAAAAGGAAATTAAAAATTTAACAACACCCCCCAAAAATGAAAAATCACACCGAAATTTGCACTTTTTCAAAATAGAATCATAGCAAATAATAATAATAAAAAAAATTTCATCATACAGAAGTGAAAGGGAAATTAAAAATTGTTACCTTATTAAGATCTAACTGACTTGCTTTAAATCTTTGACCAATAAATACAATAACTGGCCTACCATACCTATCTTCACCACTCTGATATAAGCAACCTAAATTGGCAATGGAACGTAAATCTTCATTTCTGGCTTTACGCAATAACCTTTCATACCTAAAAATTAAAACAAATAAATACATGAATATACAATATGTACTTTTCAATAACTTGTGAATAAGGGAGCTTCATATACAAAATGGTATTATACATTCTGGGCTTAGATAATATGCTTTAAGTTTAATGATTAGATTATATTATGAACTATAATGACACAAACATGTAACTGGCTATGGCAAAGCTCACACTGCCTCATGAAAACTACTTTCTGTATAACTTTAAATGTTTGATAAGTACCCTTCCTGGAAAAGCCCACAAGGTTTAAATAACAATAGAGCCTTTTAAAGAAAAAGATTATGCAATACACATATATATTGCTAAATATAACTGAGTATTAAGTGATGTATTTGCTACACTGCCAAAAATCATTAATTATGTAAACTTTACAGTGAAGGAAACTTTCACCGAGTACAAACTTCCTAAATCTCATTTTCATTCAAGAAGTGTTGGGAATGATTTCTAATTGCAGGAATGATCTCATTGCAACTTACAAGTTGGAGAAAATGTAGTAGCAATAAGACAATAGCAATAGCTCGCTATAAAACAATATAATTTTTAATCAGTGTGATGATATTTAATATAAAAGATGTCAATGCTATGTCTGTAGAGACAATTAAGATTCTTGAAGACAGGAAATATGATCAATGAATTGTGCTCTCACCAGAATTCGAACCAGACCTTCCAATTGTTAAGCAGGACATTCTAACCACTAACACCACAACAGCACAAAGGGACCAACAATGCTGTATGAAAAACTAAACTCAGTAGTGCAACAGTCCTAGTGTGCCATGGACTGCAGTGCCCTGAAATCTGCTTTCTTGACCTTGGGCCCCAGAGTGCATCAACATATGCCCTGGGCAAGTGGTCAGCTTGTCGCAGAACCCCTGATGTTTAGTCCCCAAGAGAACTCGGTACTCATTTTATCGACCCACTCAAGGAATGAAAGGCTGAGTCAACCTTGCCCAGCCCGGGGATCGAACCCCAGACCTGTGGTGCAGCTGTGCGATGGGCTAGCCACTTTGCCACAGGGGGGTCACAATGCCATATAATCTACTCCATTTAAAGAGTAATTACGAAGATGCACAAAATCCAATCAATCACATCCATGAAGTATGCTGCAGACTAGTAAGTAAGAAATCATTTGAGCCCTCACTGGGATTTGAATCCTGGATATTTCAATTACCAGCATGACAAACTGTTTTTAATATTTAGTACACACATAGGTATGCTATAATTCCATATATGATCATGCTTTTATTTACAGTTTTCTACAATTTAAAACAATTATAATCCATATTATGCTAGCACATGTAATAAACAACCTCATTTGTTTTAACTTTTCATACAAACTTCTGAAGTAAAAACAAATCTACATTTTACTTCCTGATGTTTTGGTATTTATAAAGAATAAAAAATATGCAGCAAAGAATAAACAAGTAAATAAATAAAAAAAAAAGCAAAAATAAATAATGGGGCAATTTTGAAAATAAATTAACACAGAAATAAAACTAACTTCGTTTTCCTCTGGACTTCTGATGTTAAGATATCTTGAGAGAAAGAATGTTTATGTGCAATTGTTCGATGCCTGTCTAAGTCAGGATGCATTTTTGCAAATGCAGTTTTCCCAATGCATACCGATGACTGCAGTTCAGCAGCTAAATCAACACTTTCTTCAATATCTGCAAAAAATATTGAAATTATAAGAAATTAAGAGAGAAAAAAATCATATAATGCTGAATATAGTAAAACCAAAAAATAAATGAGTAAATACTCTACTTGCTAAAAATACTCTACTCCATAAGTTACTTAAATACTCTTATTAGCTAATAACTGAAAATGTAAATGAAATGAAAAAGGAAAATATATAAATAGTTATAATCAATATACTTAAGTTCTTTAAAAGTTTACAAAAACTTGGCTAAAATATTATAAAATCACCAGCTTTGAAAATATTAACTAAACTACTGAAACAAACCAACTTTTAAAATAACAACTAATCATTATGAATGAACTGAGCATATGAATAAAAATCTGCATTATGCATACCAGTTGTTACTTTGAAAGGTCTTTCTACAATTCTCATCTGCCTTTCAGGAATGCAAGCTTCACCATTTTCCCCTCCAATATCATGTGGTAAATAATATAAAGCATATTCTTGCTCTTCTTTAGATCTCGGATAATATAATGGCATCAAAAGTTCATAAATACCAACATCTACATCTTCAACAGCAAAAACAACTAAATCTATTGCATCACCATACTTCTCTAAAAATCTTCTTACAGTTCCTAAATATAAGATAAGATATATAAGAAAGTTTAACAGTTTTTAAAATTAATATGAAATTTTCATTCCTTTCAGAAGCTTATATTTACCTCTGGAAGTAGTTTAATAGCATAATTAGTTTTTCAGAAAATAGTGACACAGAAAATAAATAGTACTCGTATTCAAGACAAACATCCCCATAGCAGATTGAAATTGTACAGAACTATGCACTATTATTTTAAAAAGGTTTCACTGCACATAAGGTTTACCATCATATACGGTAACTACAGTGGTATGCTGATATAATAGGAAAATGAAGAATAGTGTATTTTCAGGCAAATGCTTTGCGATTACATATTTTCCACCAGTTATTTTTACATTTTTCAGAAATATCAATATCAAAATATTTTGTGCATATAAAATACACCGAATTAAATACACCGAATGAGCTACTTAGACAGAAAAATGGTTTGGATTCATTTATTTGATTAAGGCAAAGCATACAAGGGCTATCTGCCTAAAGGAAGGAATGTCTTGTTAAGATCTTTCTAATGGAAACTGGCTTGTATCCATGGAATGGGGACATCTAATGGAAATGTGGAAAACAAAGAAAAAAAAAAAAAAAAAAGAGCAACCATACTGTTCACCTGGAATAAAACACTGGTCAAATTTCCAATGTTCATTGACTTTACTGTTTAGTCACTGACGGGCCTTAATGGAGATGAAAAAAGTGCTACCCAAGAAGAAAGAATGGATATGGTTTATTTCTAAAGCCTTAATTCCAAACCTTCAATCTACCAGATATTCAATGACAAACTTTTCAAAAATGAAATTTAAAAAGTCCCTCCCAATTACAGCCATGGAACCATTACACCTGAACATGTATATGGATTATGAGCACATGGAAATTAATTTCTTGAATAAAAGGAAACAGTTTTAAGAGATGGTTTCCAAAACCAAAAGTTGTGATTTAACCAAGTATGAAGATGCACAGATATCGATTAATTCTTGGCACCAAGCACATGAAAAGTAAAGCATAAAAAAAAAAAAAAAAAAAAAAAAAAAAAAAAATACAAATTAATATTTTTAGAGCTTTGAGAAATAGACTCAGTTATCTTATTTCATGGTTTTGATTTGATTCTTTTATTAATTCATTTTTAGTAGTACTCATATCCAGGAAAAATGTTGACCATTCACATGTGGATTACTGAGGAAAAAAATTAAATAGTTCAGAACATATGGGTTAGTTTTAAAATATGTCTTATTATACAAACCAATCTCATTTACAATGTCACATAAAACAAATCTGGAATACTTAACAGGAACTTTTCAAAGCATTCATATTTAATACAGACAGCCTTCGACTTTTGCATATTTTTAAAAATACAGTTTCTGAAAGATTTTTGGCCTAGATTGTGAAACTCTTTTGCCTCCATGCAGTTAGTTACTCATATACTGCCTTTGGCAGACTTCTCAGAACTGTTGTGCCTTCACTTAGGTTCAAAGCCGCAGTAGCAGGGGCCAAATTTCAAATACATACCAATGTGTTACACAGGTTTAGTCTTGCATTTTGCCATATTTTGATGCACTGTGCGTTTTGTCTTTTTCAAAAAAATATTTTGCTTTTATAAATTTATAAACCTGAACAAGAAATGGGGAAACTTCAATGCTTATGCAAACAAAGAGAAATTAAGGACTGGTACATTTGATACGATTGAGACAAAGACGGAAATACATTCTGAAAGCAATGAAGCTTTTGCTTTAATTGGCCATTCATATAATATAAACAGGTCTATGACTTGTTTACTTTTGCAAAACAACATTGCAGTATATTCTCAATGATTGTTTCCTAAAGATATGGCATATTGATGGATGACAGGGAAAGCTCTTTGTCACTGTAGATTGATAACATCAAAACAATATTCCTCGGATTTTTGCAGTTATTCAAGCTTATGCATTCAGATCAGAAGACTAGATTAAAAGAAGATTTTAAACAATGTTTCAACCAAATAATGGCTGGTTCTACAAATTTAAAATGAGATATTTTTAACATAATATTAAATTCAGTGGAGAATCGGCTGATGCAGATAAAGATACTGGAAAAGAATCTATTTCTTCATTGTCCAAAATTATTATAAATGGAGAATATTCTCTTAGTCAATCATTCAGTGTTAACAAAACAAGTTTATTTTTCAAAAAATGCCTAATCAATAGAGAAAGACAGAGCACATTATAGAACTCTTTATCAAGAAAAAAAAGTCGGGGGGGGGGTCGTATTCAGCTAACTCTTGATAAGTTTATAAAGAAAATATCTGAAAGCATTGAAACACACCTCATTAACTTAATTATGCATAAAATTATTGATTAATAAATATTTTAAAATACAATTCTTTTCTGCATCACTCTACTTTTGAACATTCAACATTTACACATATATTCAGGAACCAATTGCGTGCAAAACTCAAGGGCCACCTGTATTATTGTGCTAAATCACTACATAGAAAAGCCAATGACCAAATCAGAATACACTTACGTAAAGCTATATGTGCACCATCATGAGGTGGATAGTTTCGTCTCAGCGAATTAATCACACATAGCCCAACAGAACCAAGGTTGTGTTCCCTGAAAATATTTCATTGATATTACTGAAGTACATGTTATCAAAAGTTATTTAACAGCAACTATAAAAAAAATTTCAATTTTAAATATAAATTGATTTTGCATATTCGAAAGTCAGCATTTTGTATTTTTTTAGAGCAATACATCAAAGAAACTGCTATTATGCATGTAAATAAAAACATAACGACGTGGAAGTAGTGAATAAATTAAAAAACTAAAACACTTAGATTCTGTATCCCCAAATGATTACAACAACAAGAAAATATAAATTATGTGCTCTGTGTCAATTTTCATGGCCCCATTACCAAAACAGAGGCAAGACTATCACCAAGTTTAAACTGCTCGCATATAGTTTGTGGCTGCTGCATCTCTACGATTGCTTTTAATACGGCATCAAAAGGCTCACCTTTCCCAGAGGATTTCTGTCACATGATTACCGAAAAATACAACAAGACAATGCTGAGCCATTGCCCTTTGCTTTTTATTTAACCATTTAATAGAACCCCACAATCTTTCCACATTTTTTATATGTGCACATGTTGTTGAATCAAAAAAATTAAATTTGTGATTTACAGTTAAACGGCTGAAACTAGCCTTTACAGGCACATCTGTTTTACAGGTTTCGCCAACAGGCTAAATTAAATATATTGTTGACCCTACATGGTCTACAATCGTCGATATCAGTGTCCTTGCTTCCCAATTTGGAATCTGAAACAAACAAAAAAAGCACTGTCCACTTTCACGTCATAACGAACTGAATTTTTTTACTTTTGGAGCTGTACACAGCAAATTGAGATATTAGTGACAAGTTGGAAAGGAAGTGAAACTTTTTTTCTTTTGTGTTAAAGCACTGAATGCAAATGGCAGCAAATTGGATATATATTGTGATAAGCTGTTTTTAAAATGTTATATTGACTGCAGATATAAACATGCTTATAATTATTTTTATTCTATTTATATGAAAGAAAATATAGGTGTGTTTTTAAGGGGGAGTTGAATTTGCTATATACGCATGGGTAAGTTTAAATGATGAAAGGGACTTTGCAAGTTACTAATGCCAAAAAGCTGTCAAGTTATTTTTATGCTACTAATTAATAAAAATTTGCAAAATTTACATCCAATGCAATATAATTAGAGAGTTAATTACTTCTAAGTATTTTTGATTTGATTGGTGTTAACATTAAAAAATTAAAAAATGAATTAAGTACTTATTAAATATTATAAATAATATTTTCATTATTAGAGAATCTAGCATTGTTTCTAAAACAGTACAGTGCACAAAAAAAGAAAATGAATTTTAATTCCAATGCAATACAAAATAAAGCAGTTTCTACATATTTTCTTTACTAATTCTGTTCCTTTTCTTTTGCTTGGCTTCGGCTATTCATTTTGGTGATAAACTATTGTGTGAGACTGGCAGCAGGTAGTACATGTGAGGTTGCATAATACTTATGGCATTTTAAACTCAAAACATATTTACAACAATTATGAGAAGCTCTTTACCAATATATATAATTCAGCAATATCATAGAACAGTCCTTATGGTGTGAGGATCCTAACGAGAGTCTTTCTAGCTGAGATTTCAAGAGCATTCTGGGCGTCTCTAGTTGAGAGTTCACGAGCATTCTGACATGTTGTCCTGATGGAAAAAATCTTCAAACTGAATTAGCCATGCCTTCTTAATTTTTCAGTAGTATTTTACATCCACTGATTCGTTATATCTGGAACGATATCAGAGGAAAACAAGGTCATTGGTTTGTCAGCCCTCTTGAAATCAAGAGGCTTTGATGAAAGACACAATGGAGAAGGCTAAAAATCTACTGTCAACTGGAACGAATTATTGCATCTGCAATATCAGAACCTTGTCATGTGACATGTCGTAAAAGCTTGGAAACAGTGACTTGCGGGGACTGCATACATAATTTTCTCATCTCTGTGTGGTCTGCCGCATACTGCCCCTCCAGTATCATCGTGATGACATGTAAAAAATCAGGGAAATGCACATGTCTGCCTGAATGAATTCGACGAATATATGGTTTGACGTGATGGGCAGATATAAATTTCAAAGTATCAGAATGGTAAGTATCCCTGTCAACATTCAACAGAAATGCTAGTTTCACCCAGTCAATCGAAACCAAAACAATTTTTCTATGAATGGATAATTTGAACACTTTTTCACCATATTTGAGAACTTTGAAAGGGCTGTCGTATGGTGGGTGCAGTGCCTGTCGTACTGTATCACGTTGCACAAACACATGTGAATATGTTTTTTAATCTCTGACAATAAACACTGTTTTTGCTATCCGAGCCCCAAGTGGTTTTGGTTTAAGTTACTGCATGCAACTTTGAAATTGTTTGGCGTATTCAACAGGATCGGTTACAACATTCGATGTGTTGAAAAAAAAAGAAAAAAAAAAAATCACCTGGGAGTTTAATAGTAGTTCCATATACAAGGTTTAGCAGTAGTGCAACTGATGGTTTCTTTGAGAGCTGTTCTCAAGGCAAGTAGCACAGCTGGTAAAACTTCCACCCACTGTTCTGTATCACTGATTTGGTACATTAATGCAAAGGATGGTGAAATTTCTCAATTAAGCCATTGCTTTGAGGATAAACAGTTGTGTGTATTCATTGTACACCTAGGAGTTTAGTTAGAACCTTAAATAAGCAAGACTTGAATTGATATCCTTGATCAGTTGTAGCTGGCACACAAAGCAGGTGATCCAGTTTGCATAGAACTCCACTACCATTGTAGCTTGAATATTAGCTTCTATCCATCTAGTAAACCAATTGATAGTTGTTAGGCAATATGCGAATCCATTGGAAGGTAGAAGTGGACTGATGAGATCTATATGAATATGTTGAAATCGTGTAGAAGTTTCACTACAGGATTTTGAAGGGGCTGAAATGTGTGTATTTCTGGCATGAAATACACTGTCTTACCCAGTTCATGACATCTTTGTCGATATTTGGCCACACATATTGACTACGAAGTAATTTTGACGTCGTTTGATTGGCTGGATCAGCTAAATTATGTTTGCAATTAAAACACAATTTTCAAAATGCCTTGGGAAAATAAGATCTTGCTATGCTGGTAGATATATTGCAATATAACTCTATTTCTGAATTTGGAAGCTTAACTTCTTTTATTTATAAAGAATTGTTAGTGTTAAGTATTTCTTTTAACTCATCTCTTGATTGTGCTTGAGCAATTTCTTCACAATCAATAGGACCAATAATTTTAATTTCATGAATGTGAGATAATGTGTCGGCGACAATACTATCAGTTCCTCTAATGTACAGAATATCAGTTGTAAATCGAGAAATAAAATTTAGTTGAATTTGAAGTGGGGAGCATAGTTAACATTTTTGTTTGAAACAAATATTAATGGTTTGTAGTCGGTAAATACTGTAAATTTGTGTCCTCTATCATGTATTTAAATTTGTGAATGGATGAGTATATTGCTAATAATTCTCTCTCAAAGGAACTGTACTTTGCCTCAGTGGTTATGAGATTTCTAGAAAAAAAGCTAGGGGTTCGACTCATTGTTTAGTAACCTAATTTAGAGATCCGCCAATAGCATAGTCAGATGCATAGACTTGAAGCATTAGAGATACATTTGGTGAAGGATGTGTTTGTGCTAATAATGCAGCATTTGCTGTTGTTTAACATTTTTAAAAGCTTCACTTGTTTGAACAGACCAAGGAATTTTGCGTTTGTCATTCTTTTTTTAACCTTTTCTATATTTGCTGAGTACTGCTTGATTATGTGCTGCACGTGGCAGGTACCTACAGTAAAAATTTAGTAAGCCTAAACACATCCTTAAGTCTTAAGTTTCCTAGTTTTTTTTTTTTTTTTTTTTTTTTCCCCAAGTTCAGGATTGTGTTGACCAGTTCAGGTAAAGGCTTAGTGCCATACTTAGTTATTAGACAGCCTAAGAATTCTATTTCAGGAGCCTCGAAGACACATTTTCAAGTAATTAAGTCTCAATTCATTTAGTTCATGTAAAACTTTGGAAAGGTGTTGTTTATAAAGTGTTTTGTTTTCTGAAAATATTAGAATGTCATCTAGGTATGTGTAACAAAAATCTAGTCCTCTCAACACTTCATGCATGAAATGCTGGAACATTTGAGAATTTTTTAGAGCAAAATTTAATTAAGGAAACTCAAAAGGACCCAAAAGGTTAATTACTGCTGTTTTAGGTATGTACTTTTTACAGACGGATATATAATGATAAGCTCTTGCAATGTCTAATTTAGCCATGACTGTTTTGCCATGAAGGGATTGAGCAAAATCTTGTATGTGTGGCATAAGATATGAATCAAAAAACTGTAACCGAATTAAGTACTTTATAATCTCAAACTGGTCTATGTCAGTAGGCTTTGTATGTTCTACGTGTAGTGGTAATGACCAGATACTATTAGAGGGTCAACAAATTCCCTGATCTATCATAAATTCAAACTCCTTTTTTGTTTCCTGATAAACTTTGGGTCGCAGCTGTCCTGCTTTAAAGTGGACTGATTGTCCTTTAGTTTCAATATAACGAGCTGTGGCATGTTTGATTCTTTTACTGTAAATAGAAGGATTAGCAAGTTCTGGATATTGTCTAAGAATTTTGTGATATTGAGAATATTCCAAAACAGTCTTAATATCCAACTGAGTGCTGTGCTATAATTTGCCACCACTAGTGAGAGTTGTTAACGTATCAATGATTCTTCTTCTTCTCCCCCTCCCTTTGTTTTGTGAACAGACTAGTAATCCAAAATGGGTGAAAAAATTGTCACCTATTATATGAATTCAAACATTAGCTATTATGAAATCCCATTAAAATTTCACCCGAGATCAAAAGTTAAATTTAGCTGTTTAAATGCCGTATGTTTTTAATTTTAATATTATTTGCAGCAAATAGCTGTATAGTAGTAGCAGTATTTGTTTGGGTTCTGGCACACAACCAGGAAAATATTTACACCAGACACATGTCAGATACTTCTAAATACAAGTTTAA